AGAGATGTTGTATTGTCTGTCGATTAGTTAAAATGATAAGATGATAAGACAATTAGCACAGTAAATGAAATGTTTTATAATAGCAGAATGAATATTAAAAGTCTTGGTTTGTCTTGCTCTGGTTTTAGGTCCTGGACATGGCCGGGGAGAGTGGGAGTGTCTGTGAGAATCATAAGGAACCTCAGAAATCCTACCTGCTCTCCATTAACCTGAAAGAGGGCCGAGGCCTCGTCATCAGAGACCGCTGTGGTAAGATTCAGAAACAATAGTGAAGGAGAGTGCTTATCTAGAGGACCGTCTTTAAAAACACGCAATCACCTTTGAGTGAGAAAAAAATGTAAAATATGGGGTTAGTAAATGCAGACTGAAGAAACAAATCATGTTTTTGTTTCTTTGCTGTCAAGTGCAGTTTGATGAAACATAAAAGAAGAAAGTAAAAAAAAAAAAAAAAGAACCAAGCCGAAGAAAGACTAATATGGTAATGCATAAATAAGTATTGAAATAAACATATAATAGGAGTCTAATGCATTGCCAAAATATTGCTGCATGAATAAACCTAGTAGTAATTATCACATTAATCATTGCAGATTGGTTTAATTTAACAATATTAAACCTTCCAGCATCATTAGTCAGCAGCTTATAGCACTTGATTCTGCACACCCTATATTTTGCATAGTGAACTAAAAATACAGTTTGAGAAAGTGTGAAGCCTAGGGAGGGGTAAAAACACTGTAACTGCTGATAGGAAGTGACTGGACAAGGCACTGAAATGTTTATTTCATTTAATTTTCAGTTTCATATCGTGCACCGACACATTTAACACATTTTTATGTCGCTGAAAGATTTTAGGCAAGGTTATGCAATCATGATGAAGGCTATTTTGAGATAGATTAAGATAATAATGCCAATGTTTTTGCCCATTCAGTGTGAATAAGGATAAGGACTCATGTGCTGCACTTACAGCTCACTTGAGTTACGTGCTGTTGATAATTTTATTCCGGATAAATTCAGTACGATAAGATAACCAGCGTTACCAAAGATGCTGTCTATAAATGAGACTGCCCCACATGATCAGCTTGTGGTTTAACAACTGTTCAAGTAGCACATAATTCTGTAGTTACTGAGGTGTGGATACCAATGTGCATGATTTCAATATTTACTCTCCACACATATATAACTCAAGTCTGAATAGTTTACAGGATGGAGCTATGACGTTACTTTCCTTGTTAGCTTTATTAGCCTCAGAGCTCTTGTGCAAAACTAAATAAGTAACCCTTTTACACTGGTTGACTACATAAGTGCAAATTTAGGCTGAATTATCAATTTAAGCAACATAAACATAAGGGCATTTCCATGTGTATTGTGGGAATTTTTCTTTAAAAGGTTAAATGGTCTCTGTACTTATCTTTCAGTGGCTGGTGAATCATTTCAACACTTCCTTTAAAGCAGTTTGATGTTGCTAAATATTAAGCTTAGGTTAAGTTAATCAGCGTGTCACTGTGGTGTTTAAGTGTACAGGAAGTCTTACAGGAGTGCTGCTTACTGTCATCTGTAGTCTTAAGGGGAACAAACAAAAGGTTAGGTTTTTTAATATATTAATTAATTGAATCTGTAAACTGGTAAAAATCAATATTTTATTCATTTTACAGTGTTTATGATTACACTTATACATTTGCCAATTTTCCCATGAGCTATGTGGGATTGGCAGTAAATTGTTAGAGAAAGTGCAAACGCATACTTAATTCTCATAGTCAGCATTCCACACAGCAGATCAAAACCTGTCTAAGTACACACCCACAGAGTAGACACACACCCTCCTTACTGTTGCCTCACCCCTCTCCTTCTGTCCCAGCACACAAGAGCGCCACCTAGTTCGAGGTCTACTTATCTTGCATGGTTTTTACTGCAGTGCAGTTATTTCTCTTTTTCATTATGACTTTCTCGTCAGTTGTTTCCCTTTAAACCCATGACATATTTTGTTATAGTAAATTTTCCCACATATGCTGGATGTGTTCTGTGTAAATTGTTGTGGTTATAGGATGTGGTTTATGTGTTTATCCTTCCTTTTTTATTTACTTTGCCTAGTTTGCTCTGTAAAAGGAAGCTAATTTCACATGAAAGTCTTGTTTAAGCAAGTGAAGCAAACAATCCAAGCTGAAATATTTGCTCACTGTCACTGGACAGATCCAGGATTTATAGATCTGTCAACTATGAATATTAAAAGTGCTTCAGTTTTGGGTGGTTTATATGGCTGTTAGTATGCTCTATTGGGCTGAAAACTATTTAGAGAAAGTTATAAAGGTATTTACCTGGAATCAGAAGCAGCGTTGAAAATGAAAACTAGCAACATTTCAAATGAAACACAACTGCGTCCTGATTATTTATTCAATTGCATCATATCTTTATAGTATATTCAAATGTCTGGCAATGTTTTGGCTTCAGCTTTAAAATTAGAATGTACATTTGTATACTCATTAGCGTGCAAGTGAACAAAACATATCAGAGTCACTAAATACTGTTCAAAATTGTCTAGATACATTTGTCATTATATTTATTACCATTTATATTATTGCTGGTGTCTATATTCCGACTTTAATAGTACATTTTATTTATAAATGTGCTAAACGTGCTATTAACATGCTCTCATATTCATTGTTGCCTCATAGACTGTTTTTAGCACTAGCGACCTCAGGAAATGATGAGGTTTGAAGTCATGTTGCATCTGAAGTATTGACCACATCCTTCTGTGCATTAGTGAAGGTTGCACATGTTGTAGTAGAGACGTTGAACTCACATTTTAGACATTTTAGCTTCTCTCTGTAGTAAAACAAATAATATAAACTAGCATATACCACACTGCTGTGATTAATCAGAAGGTATTGATTAGTTTTCTATAACGGCAGCTTGGACAGTAGTACTGGCTGCAAGGCAAGTCCCAGGTTTAGATTAATACACTTGTTCTAATACACTTGTTCTAATACATTTCATTTCTATTTTAACAACTTACATGGTGACTTATATGGTAGACATTCTACATAAAAGATTTGAAAAATGTGAGTAATTATTACAATGGTGAAGATTTCTGTGAGGCGTCGTTTATGTAGCATTTTTGGAAGGACTTTTGGTCAAAGCTCATCTCATGAGACTTTGGCAGTTCTGAGATTTGAACTTACAAACCTCTGGTCACAGCTCCTCATCCACTAACCACTGCTTCTTATATGAAAGTCTTGATTGGTGCTAACTGCTTGTTTCTCAGGTACAAGTGACCCGTATGTCAAATTCAAGCTCGAGGGAAAGACATTGTACAAAAGCAAAGTGATGTATAAGAATCTCAATCCAACCTGGAATGAGTTTTTCTCCTTCCCCATCCGTGACCTACAGAAGAAACTGCACATCAAGGTATATTTTGTAAAACTCTTATGCATGCTTATGGGTTTATTAGAATTGAGTTTTTTTTTGTTTTTTTTTTTTTTTGCATTATTAACTGTTTATATGTATGACATTTGGCAGACGCCCTCATCCAGAGTGGCTTGCGTTTATCAGCTGAGGGTTAAGGGCCTCGCCTAAGGGCCCAGAAGTGGCCAGCTAGGTGGTGCTGGGATTTGAACACACAACCTGCTGATCACTAGGCCAACGTCTTAGCCACTGAGCTACCGCTACCACCGCAGCACCTGACTAATATCTGTTATTTTTTTCTTTAGGTCTATGATCGAGATCTGACCACAGATGACTTCATGGGCTCTAGCAGCGTGCTCTTGAGTGAACTGGAACTTGAGAAGTAGGCAAATAAACACAACCCAGTTGGCATACTCCTACGTGATTCAGACTATGAATTTATGCCACTTTGTGTTTTTTTTTTTTTCACAGGACGATAGAAATGGTGCTACCTCTCGCTGACCCCAACAGTCTGGAAGATGATATGGGTGTGATTATCATTGATATTAATCTGTCAGTCAGAGACGGAGAAAACAAACGAAATGTAAGCGCCAAAATTAATGAAAGCTACTAAACTTGATAAGTTTTCACTGGTTGAGTTTTAGCATTTATCCATGCTGCCATGATACTCTTGAATCTGTAAATGAAATTGTACTTATACTGTTTGTTTTGCTTATCCTTGTGGTAAAGAAGTGGGTTCAGAAGAGGAAACGAAGTCTGAAGGTAAGAAGACTGCAATCTGATCTGTTTTAGACTGTGAGAAAAGCTAAAATTTCTTTATTGTTTACAGTAGATGGTGCATTGCACGACCTTTGCTGTTGTGTTGCAGTCGAGCTCGTCCCCGCAGACCCGACGTCTCGCTGAATCTCTGAAGAAGAGCCAGCTGTGGTCTGGAGTCCTGAGCATCACGCTGGTGGAGGGACGCAATCTACCTGACGATGGACCTGGAGACGTGTTTGTTCGTTTCAAACTCGGAGAGCAGAAATACAAGAGCAAGGTACCAAAAGCACAGAAGGATAGAAGAGATGCTTTTGCTTTTCTAACTTTAACTTTCTTGTAACATTTTAAATGTAATAAATCTTTTTATAGGCTCACACTCTTCATATGACCTGACATCATATTTAGAGGTTATTACAGTACTCACTGAAGGACATGTTGTTATTATAATTTATATTTTAAATTGCATGTCGAGTTTGAAGTAGTGCTTCAGTTACATTTAAATAAGACACTAAATGAACTGTACTTGTAAGAGCTGTTTTTGCTTGAGTAAATGTATTTTTGCTATGTTATATTCAGCTCTTTTCTTCTACAGCACTTTTTTTCTGTGATTAAATTGCAAATGTACATGTGCAACGCTTAGTTAGAGCACATAAGCAGTGAATAGGAAGACATTTGGGATTCGGACTAGCTGCATGTTGGCGGAGTTTAAAAATAAAATATTCTGCTGTAAAGTCTGTTTAATTATTTATTCTGCATGTTGCACAAGAGTACTGTTATTTGAATTATGAAAAGAATTACATTAAGATGCTTTAGTATTAAAGTTTTAAATGCATCTTATAGCTAGGTCCCTGAAAGAGTAGTGGTTAGGACACAGCGCTCTCGCTGCTACAGCCCGGGTTTGATTCCTGGCCATGGAACCAACCACAGCTACTGGGGTTGTGTGGAACACTGCACTCTCAGTACCGGCCCCAAAAAACCCTCCCGGATAAAATTGGGGAGGGTTGCGTCAGGAAGGACATCTGGTGTTAAAAACTGTGTCAAATCAAGTACATGGACCAGTGATCTGCTGTGGCGACCCCTATTGGGAGCAGCCAAAAGAGGAACAACAAATGCATCTTATGTCTCATCATGATATTCAACTGTTTTATTGTGCAGCAAGTTTTTTTTTATCCATAGTGTGCCCGAATGATCAGTTAACTCTCTATTCTTAAAATGCTAGTCCCTCTGTGTGGTAATAAAAAAAAATGCTTCATTTCCAGTTTGATTTTTGTAGATATAGTCAATGGTTGTCCCATCTTTCTCATGGTAATCTGTTTAGTTTAGTTTAGTTTAGTTTAGTTTAGTTTAAACCCTAATCTGATCAGATAAACATGGTCAATAGGCAAGTCTAAATTAACAGCCAGTCTACATAGGAATGAAACTAAAACTTCCCTCAGATTCCCTGATGTGTATTTTCCCCTCATTAACACAGAGTCAGTGCAAAAAGGCCAACCCTCAGTGGAGAGAGAGGTTCGACTTCAACCAGTTCTTTGATGGGCCAAACTTTTTGGAGATAAGCCTCTGGGCCAAAGAGGGCCGGAGATACGAGGAATGTTACGGACAGTGAGTGTCGTAAATGCTTATGTGCTAAAGAACAGCTGGTGGTAAAATTTACACATTTTCCCAGATATGGAGTCTGACTTTTGGTACCGAAGCTATGGGGCAAATGTAGCTATCATGTAAGGAAAGTTTATTACTACCAGTTTAGCATCATGCAAATCGTTTCTCTAAATCTTTGCCTCCTGGGACATTGTTTGGCTATTTATACCATTTGTACAAACATTGTTTCATAAGTTTTTACTAAAATAGAAATCAAATCGGATCATCATCAACAACATCATGCCTTCAAACTTCAGATCTTTAGGTTACCTAACTGATTTAGGCTTCACAATGGCCACTTTTTTAAAACTATATTCTTAAAAAGGTTCCTAAAAGGTTCTTTGGAGAATTAGAGTTCTGATTTTCTTAATGCGTTTGGATTTTTCTGATAAAGGGATAAGGAGGGAAACCCTTAAACCAATCAAAGATCCTTAAAAAATGAAGGATGGAATCTTTGTTTTTTCTAAGAGTTTATGTTAGTGTCCTTTTGTCAATATTTGTCAAAATAAAGCAAGTCTGCTTTAGAGAGTACACAATGAGACAAGTTTGTGACACTTTGGATATGTAGTTTGCACAATGCTAAACTGGTAGCTATAAGTTTCCTTTGCCTGCTAGTAACAGTAGCCTTGTAGTTCCAGTGCAAAATTAAAGAAGCAAACTTTGGACACCAAAGATGTCTTTGGCTGTTTGTTGGGAAAATTGTGTAAATTTTGCACTTTTTTCTCCCAGAAATCTTGATTTTTCCATAAACACCAATTTGTGACTCTCACAGCTTTATTTATGACATGTGTGTGATGTGTTCAGGTGTGAAGTCGACATGTCTGGGTTGAAGGTGAACAAATGCCAGTTGTTCACGTGTAGCTTGGACCAGAGTCGAGGCAAAGTGATTTTCCTCGTCACTCTGACAAGGTGCAGCGGCGTGTCCATTACTGACCTGTGTACGCCCCTACTGGACGAGCCACATGAGAGAGAGAACATGATAAACAAATATGTTGGTTTCTACTCAACACTTTCTTTCCTTTTATTAACATCTTGAGAAATACTCCATGAAGTATATTATATACTTTAGAAGAATATATTCAGAACTCTGAACTTACTTGCTCCTTAGAGCTTCAGGAACTCCTTGAAGAATTTAAAGGACATCGGCTTCCTTCAGGTCAAAGTGCTCAAGGCTTCAGACCTCATGGCTGCAGATTTAAATGGTATACACAGTCCTCACACCCTTTCTTTGGTCAACTGTCAAGTCCTGAATGCTAAATATCTCCACTTGTAGGGAAGAGTGATCCGTTCTGTGTGTTGGAGTTGGGAAATGACAGACTGCAGACTCATACGGTCTACAAAACTCTTCACCCTGAATGGAATAAAGTCTTTACATTGTAAGTGGCACCATTCATGCTGTCATCAGCATTGAGTCAAACATGCGTGACTTCTAACGCGGTGTAAGTAAGGAACAAAAACTACAGGGCATGCTGTTATAATAAGATAATCAACCATAATAAGATCAATCAGCTATATTTCTGATAATAGCATGACTCAATGCTATTGTGCTTAATTCCTCTCATACCACAGCAATTTGCCAACCAGTCGATTATAAATCTGTTTTTGTGTTTAGTCCAGTCAAAGACATCCATGATGTTTTAGAAGTTACAGTGTTCGATGAGGATGGAGACAAGGCCCCGGATTTCCTGGGGAAAGTGGCCATTCCTTTACTCTCAGTAAGTAGCGGAAATCTCTTTTAGTTTACACATTCTTGCTAAATGAGCATAGCTGTCAAGAAGTGAAGAATGGATGTGGCCATAAATTAGGTCATATTTATACATATACAGCTAAACATAGCCGCTCCGTATCATGTAGTTAAAGAGGTTTGTAAGACAGTTACAATGAATCAAAGCGATCAAAGTTTATAATAGTCGATTAGAAGAAATGTGTTTATCTCTGTAACAGATACGTAACAATCAGCTGATTTCTTACCCATTGAAGAAAGAGGACTTAGGAGGATTATCCAAAGGAACCATTTTGTTAGAGTTTGAGGTCATCTTTAATCCAGTAAGTCAAATTTGCTTCAAGCATCTCTACCATATGTGTGTTAGTTAATTTACTTCTGTGCAGACTGATGTTTTCTTCCTCATTTATACATCAATTAGATCAAAGCAAGCATCAGGACCTTCAACCCAAAGGAGAGGAAGTTCCTTGAAGACAATCCTAAGTTTTCCAAAAAGGTGCAATAGTAAATATCATTATGGCCATCACACTGTAGGGATTTGGTCTGTCAGCACTTTACAAACCTTTCATTTCTATTAGGCCCTGGCAAGAAATGTTCTCCGTGTGAGGAACATCTATAGAATGTTGAGCCAAAACTTGCACTATATCAAGAGCTGTTTCCAGTGGGAGAGTGTCCAGCGGAGTATCTTTGCATTTGTGGTGAGTCCAACGTTATTGTGAAGCAGAAATAATTTTCTTCCTTTTTTCTCTCTCTTGGAGTTAATAAGACAGAAAAACATGTCTTGTCATATTACAGAGAAATCCGAAATAGTAAAGTCTCTGTTCTGAGACTCTCCTGTGACTTACAAAGTCCTGACACTGGCGACTCCTTCAATAAGTGTTGAATAAACATCTTACGGAGAACTTCACGTTAACAACAATTATATTTTATTATTATCTTTAGAGTATGCAGATTGTTTACCATGCAAGTTCCTGTGAGTAAGATGTTACTATAAGAAGATAATGTATCAGAAGTTCATTAATGTAAACTTGTTTGATTTACACAAGACAGTATTGTCAGAGCTGCTGCTGTAGAAGATTAATCAATACCTTCTGACCAATCAGATTTGAGAATTCAGCAGCACTGTGGCCTAATAGTTAATATTATTTGTAGTATGTTGTTGTTGTTTCTCTTTCGGCTGCTCCCATTAGGGGTCGCCACGGCGGATCATTGGTCCGCATATTTGATCTGGCACAGTGTTTACACCGGATGCCCTTCCTGACACAACCTTCCCCAATTTTATCTGGGCTTGGGATCAGCACTGAGAGCACACTGTTGCATGCAACCCCAGTGGCTGGGGTTGGTACCCTGGCCAGGAATCAAACCTGGGCCGCAGTGGTGAGAGCGCTATGGCCTAACCACTAGTCCTCCGGGGACCTGATATTATTTGTAGTATGATTTGTGGTTAAAAAAAAAAAAGTAAAAATCAGACAAAGGGGGCCAGAGTCATGGCATTTAATGGAAGATTACAGGATATTAACTACTAAGGTAAAACAGTCAAGTTCAGTTTTAGGTTGTCTTAAAGCATCTCATTATTGCTCCTGCGACTGTCACATAACTTGTCAACAGTATTCCACATGAAATCAGAATCAGCAGATAATCAAAGCTTTCATACTGGTATCGTATAGAAAATTCAATGGAAATGTGACATCACTAGTTATATAATCACTTGTCACATTGTAATTATTCACAGAAAAAAATCCGGAAATTACAACATTGCGAGTTGGCTGCAGAGTTGTCACTGCTTTTGCCGTCATTGTACTCCACTATGGCTCTGTTTGTTCACATATACATGTACAGACAGCAGTGAAAACATGAACTCATCACCTGTGATAGCTGATCCAGTCACTGTTTGTCATCTTTCATTTTACAGCAAGGCCACTTCCACTCCATGGGGTTTTATATATGATCATGATTAGGTCAGGAAGAGATGTTTTATATACTAAGGCGTAGTTACAGGAGAAGATGCTCATTATGCCTCCTTATGAGAAAGGCTAAGGAGGAACTAAAAGGCAATCACCGTCTGTACACTCATTCACTCATCAGCTATGACCTGTCTTCTCCTCCAGATCTTTGTGCTCACCGTGTGGTACTGGGAGTTCTACATGCTGCCTCTGTTCCTGGTCATACTGCTCATGTGGAACTATGCTCAGGTCGCCTCTGAGTGGGGCAGCCAGGAAACGGTGAGTGCCAATGTCACGGCACTCCACTACACTCACTAATCAAGGATTAACATCTTTCATACATATTAAAAGTATCTCATACTTGTCAAAAGGTTGTGAAAAATTGAAATGATGCATGATATCTAAGATTGAGAATTACTCAAGAAGGTAACAGAATTAATAATAAATACTTATTAAAAGATTACTC